TGCTTTGTCAAAAAAAAGCTCTTCCCAATTTTTCCCTGAACAACTATTGTTAATTATTCAGCTCTTTGCCCTCTATTCCTTCCTACAACTGTTGATACCTTGGAAAACAAACTCTAGAAAGCAAATAGTCCTAACAATGACCAATTTTAAAAATGCTTTTAAGAGTTGCAGATCGCTATGTTACTTAGTTAACAAACAACAAACACCAAACAATGCTGCTATATGGAACAGCTGCCATAAAATCCAGCATCTGCTAGGCCTTTCATCAACCATTCCAAAAGTTGTGTTGTCAAAGGCTTTCATGGCTGGAACCGCTGGGTTGCTCTGAGTTTTCCAGGCTGTATGGCCATGTTCCAGAAGCATTCTCTCCTGACATTTCACCCATATCTATGGCAGAAATCCTCAGAGGTCCCCAGGTGTTTTGGCCTAAAACTCCCAGAAATCCCAGCCAGCTTACCAGCTGTTAAGATTCCTGGGAGTTGAAAGCCAAAACACCTGGGGACTCACAGGTTGAGAACCACTTAGCTATGGTGATCCTTTGAAGGCTAGGTAACTACATTTATATTAAATGTATATTGTAATAATAATAGCACTATGTAACACGATTTCTGTTTCTGGGTTATAAATGTCATTTTCTAATTGGTTCTATCACAAAATCAGTACAATAAATAAAGATCAACACTCAACAACAGGGGAATTCCTGACATGAAACCATGACAGCCAGCTGACACCTGCTAACAAAGGATTCCCCCAGGGAGGGAAGGAGCCAGGCTTTGAAGCTGCAAGGCCATTCAATGCTAATCAAGGTGGCCAATTGCAACATTCTGGCCTCAAGCAGACAAGAGTTCTTTCTCCAAGATATATTAACTTCACTTTCCTAGTTCCCAACAGACCTCACAACCTCTGAGGATGCCTGCCATAGATGAGGGCGAAATGTAAGGAGAGAATGCTTTTGGAACATGGCCATACAGCCCAGAAAACATACAACAACCCATTCCCAAAGTTGTTTTGGCACTGAAAAAAACTACCCAAGAGGCTGATGAACAGCTGAACAACCCAACAACTAACCCATGCCATATAAACATCTGTATGTAAGAATGCAGTCCACTGCTGCTTATTTGGGAATGAACTGAGCACATTCATTGGACCACTCTGCCAAAAACTGAGAAAGGCTGTAAGAGTAAAAACCCTCTCTCTTGTTCTGCATTTGGAAGGGTAAAACTCTTGCTCTGCATTCATAATTGCCTTCATGTGTCAACCTGGTCGATAAGCCAACATTCTTCCTGAAATAATTATACTGTTTATTATGCTGCTACAAAAAAAAAGTTCTTTCACTTCCCTCCAAACTAGTAAAAACCACACCACAAAACAGAAAACAGAAGGTGAGGGGCAGAAGGGAGGGGGTAGAGATGATTTAGCACACTGTACTCCTTTCAAATCCAAGTGGAGGTTGGATACCCTCATGCAAGCTCAATTATTGGAACCACCATCTGACTTGCGGTTTTTCCTCTTCGTATCATCTCAGCAACTTCCCACAAAAATGCAACCAAGGACAAGAAATGGGATTTGGAAAGGCTGGGTTTCTTAGCTAATGCAGAAGCAAAGTTCTTTGTAAAATTATCTTCCCCATACATTATATATGCTTGAGAAACTAGGGTGTATCTACACCAGGTATGAGCAAACTTTGGCCCTCCAGGTGTTTTGGATTTCAACTCCCACCATTCCTAACAGCCTCAGGCCTCTTCCTTTTCCCCCTCAGCCGCTTAAGCGGCTGAGGGGGAAAAGGAAGGGGCCTGAGGCTGTTAGGAATGGTGGGAGTTGAAATCCAAAACACCTGGAGGGCCAAAGTTGGCCCATGCCTGATCTACACTATAGAATTTGTGGGGGTGGGAGAGAGAAGTTACAACCAAGGCTGCAGAACAGCCTGGCTTCCCAACCTGGATTCTGTGTGAGAAACACCAACCATGTAGAGACCTCCAAAAGGAAACAATGCCCTCCCTCCTTCTTTCATTTTCCGCCCTGGAAAGAGCTCAGCAGGAGGGAAAGCAATAAAGCCAGGGACAGATTGAGCTGCCTCTTTCACGTCCTGGGCAGATGGGGGAGCTGGAAAGGGCTCCAGAAATGCATGCAACCAAACCCCAGACTGGTTCTGCACATTTTGCTCACAGGTTTGCGCCCACTCTGCAACTCCCCTTTAGTGTATCTGTACTACAATGGAGAATGGAAGCACCACTTGAACTGCCAGGGCACAATGCTAAAGAATCCTGGAGCTGCAGTTTTGCAAAGTCTGGAGCCTTCCTTGCCAAAGACTCACCAAAATACACTTTCATCAACCCACAGAATTGAGCCAGGTCAGTTCTAGTAGTGCCAGGCTACCTTCCTGCCCCCTTGGATGTGCCCTGGAAGCGCCTCTTTGCCTTCCTATTCTTCCCTTCAGGCCCCTCCAGCTGGAAGCCCAAAAGGATTGAGACTAAGGCTGGTTTCATTCAATGTGTGCAATTTTTTAAAGCACACACTGCGTGTTTCCCAGGCTGTTTCACAGAGAAACGCCTTTGATCAGCCGCTGCCAAACCTGTTTGTGGCATCCCAGGCTTTTTTTCTCTCTCCGCAGCTGTTTCCAGTATGAAAACAGTTTCTTCCTCCTGTTTCTTTTGCCACACATACCCGGAAGGACTGGGATGTGAGCCACCCAATGGTGCATCTACATCAGGCACAGGCAAACTTGGGGGCTGCTGGTGGGCCAGGAGGGAAGGAACAAGCCCTATGAGGAGTGGCTTAAAGAGCCGGGCATGTTTAGCCTTAGAAAAGAAGGCTGGGAGGAGACATGATAAGGGCAATGTATAAATAAATATATGAGGGGAAATCATAGGGAGGAGGGAGCAAGCTTGTTTTCTGATGTCCTGGAGACTGGGATGTGAACAATATCTTCAAACTACAGGAGAGGAGATCCCACCTGGACATAAGGAAGAACTTCCTAACTGTGAGAGCTGTACAGCAGTGGAACTCTCTGCCCCAGAGAGTGGTGGATGCTCCTTTTTTGGAGGCTTTTAAACAGAACTGGATGGCCATCTGTCGGGGTGCTTTGAATGCAATTTTCCTGCTTCTTGGCAGGGAGTTGGACTGGATGGCCCACAAGGTCTCTTTCAACTCAATGATTTTATGATTCTAAGGGGTTTTTTCCAAGCCCCCTGCCTGCCCTTTCCTCTCCTTCCTCTTCTCTTCTGGAGACAGAAAGTGAAGGAAAGACAGGAAATGTTTGGATTCCAAAAGGGTTGGCCTTGGTCAGGATGAGATGATGGACAGGAGAGAAAAATGTATCATTAGACCTTGTATTGCCTACTTCTGATATAAAATCCTAAAGATGGAAGAGACCCCCCCCCAAAGGCCATCCATCCCCCTGCCATGCAAGAAGGCATGATAAAAGCACTCCTTATAGGCAGCCTCTGCGAAAAAGCCTCCAGAGAAGGAGACTCCACCACATTCCCAGGCAGTTCTTACTCTCAGGAAGTTCTTCCTAATCCCCTTCCCTGCCATTTGAACCCATTGCCCCCTTGTGCCCTGGTCTCTAGAGCAGCAGAAAGACAGTTTTTCCCCACCCCCCTCCTCAATGGGATACCCTTTAAAATCTTGAAACATGGTTCTCATGTTCCCTCTCAACCATCTCTTCTCCCACCTAAACATCCCCCAGGAGGAAAGGAGAAAGGAAAAAGAGAAGGAAGAAAGGGTGAGAGGAAGAGAAGGATGGAAGGAAGGAAGGGAGGGAGGGAGGGAGGAAAGAAGAAAGACCAAAGGGAAAGAAGCTAGGAAGGAAGGAGAAAGAGAGAGAGGGAAGAAGGGAGGAAAAGGGGAAGGAAGGATGAAAGGGTGGAAGGGATGGAAGGAGAGAAGGAAGGAAAGAACAAAGGGAAGGAAGCATGGAAGGAAGGAGAAAAAGAGAGGGAAGGAGGGAGGAAAGAGGGAAGGAAGGACAAAAGAGTGGAAGGGAAGGAAGGAAGGAGGGAGAATGAAGGAGGTAGGGAAGGGAGGGAGGGAAAGAGGAAGGAGAGAAAGAAGGAAGGAAAGCGAAGGAAGGAAGGAAGGAGAAAAAGAGAGAGGGAAGGAAGGAGGGAAGAGGGAAGGAAATATGAAAGGCTGGAAGAGAAGGAAGGGGGGAGGGAGAAAGAGGAGGTAAGGAAGGGAGGGAGGGAAGGATTAAGGAAAGAGAGAAGGAAGGAAAGGCCAAAGGGAAGGAAGCAAGACTGGATTATATGCATTATATAAATTCCATATTCAATCTGCATTAGATGGTCAGTGTAGACCAGGCATGGGCAAACTGTTACACCTGGAGGGCCAAAGTTGGCCCATGCCTGATCTACACTATAGAATTTGTGGGAGTGTGGTGGAGGCTCCTTCTTTGGAAGCTTTTAAACAGAGGCTGGATGGCCATCTGTCAGGGGTGATTTGAATGCAACATTCCTGCTTCTTGGCAGGGGGTTGGACTGGATGGCCCATGAGGTCTCTTCCAACTCTTTGATTCTATGATTCTATGAGAAGTTACAACCAAGGCTGCAGAACAGCCTGGCTTCCCAACCTGGATTCCTACCTGCTGTTAGGAATCGTGGGAGTTGAAGTCCAAACCACCTGAAGGGTCGAAGTTTGCCCATGCCTGGTCTACACTGACCATGTCATGCAGTTCGAACTGTATTACATGGCAGTGTAGATGGGGCCAAAGTTTCCAACAAGAGAGGAACTCCATTCCGACTGGAGGGGGCGATTTCAATCCAGGAACTGCTGCGAGGCTGGCCAGATAAAAGACAGAGGCGCCCATACAAAGGTTAACTTTGGCATGGCACAGTTTGCAGCCACATGGTCACACTCAACTCAGGAAAAGCGATACCCGTGTTGTCCCCATTCCGCCTGGAAGTGATGGATGGACCCGTGGAAGGGCTGGCCAAAACTCGCCCGGTTTCCTGGAAGAAATGAATGGGGAGGAAAGTCGCGCGGAATGAACCCACACTCACCAAGCGCGGCTCCTTCCTGGCCACTGGCAGAGTAGCACCAAATCCCCACTTTGGAGGAAAGAAGCTCCAGAGAGAGAGAGAGAGAAATGGGTGCCACGTTTCCTCCGCTTGCTTTTTTGGAGAGGGAAACCTCCTCAAAACCGCCTCCTTCCTTTCCTTTCCTTCCCTCCCCGCCGGTCTCTGAAGGAGGAGGAGGAGGAGGAGGGCCGTCTTCGCAGCCTGGCTCCGGCGAGGAGTGAGGCAGGAAAGGGAGCCGCCTCCTTCTCTTCTTGCTCCGGCCCTGCCCGCCCTCTTTCTTTCTCAGGCGCCCGCCTCTTTGCCCTCCCAAATCCCCTCAATGGGGGCGGAGGCTGTGCCTGCCTCTTGCGGAGGGGGAGGCCCAAGGGAAGAGCCGCAGCCCCCAAAGAGAGGGAAAGGAAGGGAAGGGGGAGCCAAGGAGGGACCCCCCCCCCCAAGTCCAAAGCGCCATAGCCAGACTTCTGAGGGAATAGAGTTGAAAGGAGAAGGCGTTTGGGAAGTTTTCTCCCCTCGACTTTCACGGGACGAGAAGGCATTGTTGTTGCTGTTTATTCGTTCAGTGGCTTCCAACTCTTCGTGACCAGCCCACGCCACAGCTCCCTGTCGGCCGTCACCACCCCCAGCTCCTTCAGGGTCATGCCAGTCACTTCAAGGACAACATCCATCCATCTTGCCCTTGGTTGGCCCCTCTTCCTTTTTCCTTCCATTTTCCCCAGCATCATTGTCTTCTCTAAGCTTTTCTGTCTTCTCATGATGGGCCCAAAGAACTACATCTTTGCCTCTTATATCCTTCCCTCCAATGAGCAGTCAGCCATTATTTCCTGAAGTATGGACTGGTTGGTTCTTCTCGCGGTCCAAAACACTCTCAGAACTTTCCTCCAACACCACAGTTCAAAAGCATCTATCTTCCTTCTCTCAGCCTTTCCTATGCTCCAACTTCTCACATCCATAGGTTATTATGGGGAATACCATTGCTTAACTATGCGGGTCTTCATTGCCAGTGTGATGTCCCTACTCTTCAACCTTTAAAACTCTGGCATAGACACAGAGAACTGGGAAGCCCTGGCCCTTGAGCGCTCCAGTTGGAGGTCAGCTGTGACCAGCAGTGCTGTAGAATTTGAAGAGGCACAATGGAGGGCGAAAGAGAAAAATGTGCCAAGGTGAAGACGCATCAAACCAACCCTGACCGGGACAGCCTTCCGTCTGGAAACCGATGTCCTCACTGTGGGAGAACAAGCGGCTCAAGAATAGGGCTCCACAGGCATCTACAGACCCACCACCAGTACAGCGAACTTGGAGGACAATCTTACCATTGCAAACAAGTGGAGAGTATATATAGAATGGCCTAGATGCAATTGCACCAAATGAAAATAAGTGTAAACACTAACAATAGGATTTACAAATGTTTATACAAAAGGTTTATGAATATCCGCACCTAACTGCAATAGAGTCTCGCTTATCCAACCTTCACTCATGCAATGTTCATTGGAGAAGAAAGGGGCTTTGGGTTGGGGCTGGAAGGATTTCCCACTTGTGGAGTTGTGGGCAGGAGGGGAGCAAAAAGAGCGGGAACCACTTCCTACTTTTCATCGTGGAAGGAATAAGGGCGGTTCATCCGAGGGCCAAGGAGGTGGCAGGCAAGGTCCCAAGCGCCCAGGAAGAAGAGATGGAAAAGGAGGAGGAGGAGAAAGAAAATAAAGAGGAATAGAAGGATTAGGAAGAGGCAGAGGAGGAGAACAAGAATGACACAACAATGCAACAACTCTGGGCTTTCCTCTTGCTCCTCCAGTGCACTTTATGAGCCTATTAGGAGGGAGGAGGCGCGGAAAAGCCGCAGCTGAAACGGGCAAAAAGTCACGACCAACACGGCCTGGAAGGAGGGAAACCCGGGACGAAGAAAGGGAAGGAGGGCGGAGGCTGCAGTAGCCACTGCCAGGGGGTTCCCTCCCTCCCTCCCTCCAAAGGCCCAGCTACTTCTTGGCTCAGAGTATCTCTCTGTCTGTGTGACAGGGAAAGACAGCGAGATCAAGATGTTTAATGGGTCTACTTAGATGCGTCCCTCGCCAAGAGCTCTGCTAAGTACCAAAGCAAGAGGGAATTTCCTGAAACTGGAGACGAAGTGGAACAGCAAGACTTGTCCCTGGGATAGAGAGGGAAGAAGGCAGCAGCCCTGCATGGCTGGGAGATGATCAACACCAGGCAGGAGTTTGTCTCCCTTGTGATGGTTGCAAAGATATTTTCTTATCCAGTTTTTAATATTAGAGGTCAGTGTGTTGCTTCTTTGGAAATGAAAGGTAGAATCATAGAGTTGGAAAAGACCTTGTGACCCATCCAGTCCAACCCCCTGCCAAGAAGCAGGAAAATCGCATTCAAAGCACCTCTGACAGATGGCCATCCAGCCTCTGTTTAAAAGCCTCCAAAGAAGGAGCTTCCACCACACTCTGGGGCAGAGTTCCACTGCTGAACAGCTCTCACAGTCAGGAAGTTCTGTGTTCAGATGGAGTCTCCTTTCTTGTAGTTTGAAGCCATTGTTCTGCATTCTAGTCTCCAGGGCAGCAGAAAACAAGCTTGCCCCCTCCTCCCTGTGACTTCCTCTCACATATTTATACATGGCTATCATGTCTCTTCTCAGCCTTCTCTTTTTCAGGCTAAACTTGCCCAGCTCTTTAAGCCACTCCTCATAGGGCTTGTTCTCCAGACCCTTATCATTTTAGTCACCCTCCTTGACTTAAACCAAGTTCTTAAATAAGTGTTTTCCAACCTGTGGTCCATGGACCACCAGTGGTCCTCAAGAACGAAGATATGGTTCTCAGCCTCACCATTACTACACCATTGCCTTGAAACCACACAGCAATTAGAGTGACTGGTCTGTGAAACCCTCTTAAAGTGTCAAGACAACTGGGATGTCGGGAGGGGAGAGGCTGACTACCCACAAAAGATTACTACTACCACATCAGCTCTAGATTATTAAATATTAGGCCTGGGTAACAACGGAAAAATTTGTTTCTAAAATCGATTCGTTTTTTGTGGTTTTTTGCGTTTCGATATTTAAAAGAATTCCGAAATTTTCCTTAAAAAAAGTTCGATATTTACGAAATTTCGTAAATAGTAAAAAAAATACCATTAACTTCCGGTAAGATGGCGGGGAGCTAACAGCTGATTCCAGAGCGGTCCGGTGAGAAATACCTAATCTGAGCCTAATCCCCCTCATCCAACCCCCCCTCGACCACCAACCGTCACC